GATAGACATTACTGGCTATGACGGTGACTATACAAGCCCCTTTGATCTGTCTCAGATAGGTATTACTGGCTATGACAGTAGGCATTACTGGCCATGACAGTGACTATCAAAGCTCCTTAGATCTGTCTCAGATAGACATTACTGGCTATGACAGTGACTATACAAGCTCCTTTGATCTGTCTCAGATAGACATTACTGGCTATGACAGTGATTATACAAGTTCTATATCAGATAGGCATTACTGGCTATAACAATGACTGTCTTATAGTTAGGCATCCTAATGGAAATTGACATTACATGTACATGTATGTGGTGAAAATTGTTCAGGCTTGCTATTGATTTATATCGTAAAACATTCTTGCAAAGGTTTATAACTCAAAAGTGGCTCTGACAACTTGTGAATAATTTTGTTACCGGTAGGTTTGTCACATTTACAGCTGAAGGCATTGAAAACAAAACCTTCCAGGGTATTTTGTAAAGAAATCCTGCCATCATTTGTCGAAGTGATTTGCCAGCAGAGTGCAACAAGGTCCAATAGCCTGTGTTTTCTATCCCCAAGGCCAACCAGCCTGAGAGTCTGTGGTTACCAACCACCACAGGATCCAACAGTGGCATTGTACGGTGGGACGAGCTCCCGTTGTCTCAGCTTGGACACTGGGCAGTTTATTCAGCTGCTGTTAGCTGCCCAGTGCAACAAGATCCACCTCTGTTAAACTTGTCACACTTTGCTGCCTCTAGCAAGGTTAGGGTCAGTTTACAAAGTGCAGCTTGCTTGGGATAGCTCCATCTCTTTTTTTTTCCCCTTCCATATTTAAGATGACCCAGAAGCTGTAGAGCTGACCATTAAGTCCCGAGGTCAAGGTCGAGGGGCCAACGCCAAAGTCATCTTCAATGCCATTTTCTGCTGTGTCGGCTGGGAGCACAGAGGCCAACTGGCTGAAGGGTTGACAATGCTTCCTGTACTTCTGGTGAAGGGGACGGCAGCAGTCACAAGATTTGTCCTCTCATGGCTTCAGGTCAGTTGGAACTTGCTCTATTCAGTTAAAACTGTCTGACGTAACTGGCACTCAAACAATTTACAATATACTGTCAGGTTTTTATCAGAGGGTTGTCTGACTCTGTAAGCTGCATGTATTTACATGTAAGAGACTCGTTCATCGCTCAAAATGTGTACATTAATCCTAACCCTGCCAGATGTAGCATGGTACAGCAGGTGTAAAAGTCTGGTGTGTTTTTTGCACTGGACAATCAAAAACAGCTGAAAAACATGACCCATGTGATGACAATGGGAGCTGGTCCCAGCATGCAATGCCACTGGTTGATCTTGTGGCACTGAGTAGCAAAGCTACTTAAACAAATGATGCAGACAGCTGTGTCCGACAGGGTTTCTAGCCAAAATACCCTGGAGGGTGTAAGGGTCAGGCATAAAGCCTCAGCAGGCACATAGCCTTGCAGCTAGGGGGGTGGAGTTGCTGGCTTTGCGGACATTGAAGCAGTGTGTACATACACAGAGCACTGATTTCCCTTTAGACAAGTTATCACAGTATCAAGCTTCGTATCTGTCAAAGCTTGATAGCTTCCATTCACTGGTGCAGAATGCTTGAGAGGAAGAAGTATTCATGTACATGTATATATGTACTTTCTCATAAATGTTCGTATTCAAAAAAACACTCAACCAGAACACCGGCCATTGGCTTTTTCGAGACAGGCACTTTGTCACAAAGTATGGTAACTCTTCCAACCTGTTGGTGCACATACATGTATAGCACAGGATTAATACCTGCAACTTGCTGTCACTCTAATAAGTTATTTAGCAGAAGGGTCTTTGCATGGACATCAAGCTTTAAACTGGCAACAGGTTTATTGACTTATTTTCCATTTTATTTATACAGGATAGCCTGTTCATTTACTGAACTACCTTATGGGCCATCTATAAAAAAAACTGAATTTTTTTTATAGTATATGCATTTGAAAATTAAAACAAAGTCAGATGCAAAATCAAGGCTGAGTAAATATTGAAGAAGTCAAAAACGCATAGTGGAACCAAACTGAATAGAATTATCAAAATGTGCCTAGTCAGTGAAACTTGTGTAGAAGAATGACAACATTGTGATTTAGGAATTCTGGAGCAAGATTTTTTTTAATTAAATTTAAAAAAAATTAACAGGAAAATATACATGTATGTCTCTAAAAATATGTGTTTCTGTCTCCAGAGAGGGGATCTTTTGCTCTGAGTCAATAGGGTTAATGATTTGTCATTTCAAAAGTGTCTCATTTTCAATTTTAGGAAATCTTGTGCTCCATTTTGATCATAAAAATAGTGTAAAACACTTAGATGTTGCTGCACATCATCACCTCTATTTACAGGTGCAGTTTGACTGCCATGTAAAGAAGATGACCTTTAACCCTGTTGCTCTGGTTTGGATGGTCTCGATGTGGGCTGGCCTTTCCACAGGTGACTGTTTTTGTGCGATATCATTGGTGGATGTTTTAGGGTGGAAGCATTGTTTGTAAGAAGTGGGAAGAAACGTATCCAGTGTATGACTGGATATCATGATTGCCCTATTAGATTTTGAACTTTAATCCGTAGATGCATTTATACCTGCTGTTTCCGATTGTTACCTTTTTGTTTGGTCACAAAATAAAGGTGAATGCAGAGTGTCAGAATGCAGCGAGCTGGGAAATTTAAGAGCAAAATCAGGACAAAGTGAGATTGAGATTGCAGGTGGATTACTAACAGAGAAAATATACCTTGTATGCAGAATAAGTACAGTGAAAATGGATAGAAATGCTCTGAATTCTGTTGCCAAATTATTGCCAAATTGGCTATTACCCTTCTTGTGTCTTAAAAGCCTCATTATGTGATTTGATCTAAATGGGCCATAAATATCCATTTTGCAATGGCCAAACAAGATCCAGGCTTCACACCTGTTTTGTTTGATTCATTAAGATTTTAGATGGAAAAAAGGTTGGAATACTAATCAGGTTTTTAACCTCGTCAACAGGAGAAAAGTCCAAAACCGTGGAACTTCTCTACACTGTTCCTAAAACAGTAGAAGGGCTGAGTCGCATCACAATGACAATAGATGCTACTGATGCCAAGATCTTATGGGACAGGTAATTGATAACATAGACAACTCAACACACCAAACCCTCCAAACAAAAAAAGCCACTTAATCTCATCTCTGAAACATGTGAATTGCAACTTGTTTTAATGATTCATAGTAAATGAGTTTGAGCTTCTGACAAATATGGCTGTGTATTTCTCAGTGTGCATTTCATTCTAGCTCGGACACCTCACCATAAATGGTCCACTTTGTGTATCCCTGGGGGAGTTCCAAAAGCAGACAGTCTTTTTATGAGTGGCTCCATCAAAATGAGGAATGAGCCTGTATTTGACAGAAGAACGTCTAGCACCCAATCATGAGATATCCATCTTGTTTCAAGAGCAGGGTTTGAGAAAGGAATGGGCACTTCTGGGGATTTCTCAAAACTTAGTTTTTTTCTGTATGTTCTAATTCATGCATAAAATAAAGGAAAACACAACTGATATGAGTTATGAGTCCACATTCAGCGTAAAATGTTCAAAAAAGATAACCTTGTTGCTTCATGAGATTATTCGTTATAATCAAATGTTGACTGATTAGAGCATTCCTTAGTGAGCTCATAATTTTTTTGTGTGTGTGGAATTTGGCAGTGTACATGATGAAGGATCTGCCGACTTCACTGCGGATGAAGTGACGGCATTCATCAAGGCATTGGAGGCACACTTCTTCCATCACTTCAAGATACACCTTGCTGTGAGTACATGGATCTCATATGGGTGGATTCACAATTCTTAGAAGTAGTGGTCTTGTATCGGGGACCCAAGTCATCCAACTCAGCAAACTGAGAACATTGACAGTTGTAATAAAGTCGTCGCATGTCAGTTACAAGCCAGTCACCAGTTTAGGTCACACAGTTCCAACTAAAATAGAAGACTGTATATTGTATTAAATGGCATGTGTCTATGATAGGCGTTCCATGCTTTATCAGTGGTGTACAGTGTTGTAACCTACAGATCTTTTCACTAGTTAATGTGTCGCTAGTCAAGTCACATGTCTTCTGAGTTAAGTCAAGTCTTCGGTCAGTTCTTACCAAGTCAAAATCCTGGTAATTGTTCAAACTTATCTAACACTGACATGGTACCTGTGCACTTCATTCCTTATTGATGGTCTGGCCTATGTGCCTAAGCTATACTATTACAAATATCACTACATTTATGGTGAAAAAAAAACAGATGCTTCCTTTCTCACACAGAAAAATTAACGGTACTTTATTTTCTTGCATTTCACAACAGTTGTTTATGCCGAGAAGTCAAATTTGGGCAAGTCAGGTCCGAAGTCGATTTTCCCTAGTCAAGTCTCAAGTAATCTTTTTTAGGACAAGTCAAATCTCAAGTCAAATCAAAAAAGTAACTGGAGTCTGACTCAAGTTCCAGTCAGCAACTTCCAGTCAGCAATACTGATGTTATGCTCCTATGCTGATTTGTGACCTGACTCGTCATTGACATTTTGTACATTAGATATTCTGGCAAAATGCTGATATGCTGGCAATGAAATGTTCAGCGGCTCCACTCAAATTTGTATTGAAGAAGTTTTGATGCTAAGACAATTTGGATGACTTGATATCATGATCCTCTCTGCAGGCACTCACGTTATCAAGAATTGGAACTCCAATTGTTTACATTGGCTCCGAGGGAAGGCTCAAGGTAAAAGAAATGTCGTGTCTTTTGCAATTTTTTGCAAACCTAGCGCTCAATTGCAATTATAAAGATTTTTAGGCGTAACTTTGACCAAAATACTTAAATGGCCTGCTGCTAAACCCGGATTCCACATACATGTATCCTCCAAAATCAATGGGGGGAGTTCAAAGATTTTGCAAGACTGAGAGGATGATGGAGCCCAGTGGCACCTACTTTGCTGAGGGCTTGATGCAAATATTCCTCCTCTGGGAGAATTCAGGAAAGTTCCAAGAGGACGAAAATGTCCTTTGAGTTGGGGTTACTGTACTTTAGCACAATATGAAACCCGCGACTTCCTGTCTACTAATGCAGATGCCGTACGGACACCGAGGAGCCCACTGCACCACAAATGCTTAGGGTCCAATGTCTAAATCTGTGTCACATGCATAAAGTGTATTCTTAAACTGAAAGATTGATTCAAATTGGATATTATCATCTGAATGTCTAGCATTCCTTTCATTCAGCGTCTCCCTAGATCATATGCACCTACATGCGGTGATTTTTTTTTTAGAGAGTATGCTCATTTGTCATGTTTTTCAAGTTACTCGTCTTGATTCTGTGCTACCCAGTCAGTTATGCTGTCAGACTTCAGTCGTCCCATCATTGCCTTCTCCGCTTCTGTGCCTTATTTTTTCGTTGCCATTTGGCCTTTTGAGACAGAGTCTGCTAGGATCAAAACATCAGGCCTTCTGTTTGACCATGTCTGTGCCAATTTCTTTTTTTCATATTCATCTGTTTTGATGCAGAGATTAATTTTGCACCTTCACCGTTTAGATTCTTTCACAGGAGGGAACTCGCGCCGTTCTACAGCACATCACAGAGCTTGCTGTGGATAATTTCTGCAGAACTACTTGACAAAGAAGTAGTTCCCTTTATTTTTGACACCAAAGAAATCTACAGATGCTTCAGGAGGTGTGGGCTTCACATGTGGTTGACCATTAGATCTTGTGCATGCCTAGAACTTCTGCATTTTAACCTTTTAGATGTCTTCAACTACATGTAGACAAGTCAGCGTCAAATTGAAAAGGCATCTTATTGGAAACCCATACAGACGATATGTTGTGAATTTCCCCCTCCCCTCCCCCCCATAAATGTATTCTTTCCCTGTTCAGGAGCTTGAACTGTTATGTAACAATGGAAATTTAGGAAGTCCTGATCATCGAATGTGGAATTTTTCACAGCATGTCCTATTGCTACTATGATTTGATGGGTTTTTTCATTGTTGTTAGTCTAAACATGCCGATAACTTCTTCCATTGGGGAGGTGTTTTTTTTTTTCCGATTGGTTTCACTCTTGATAAAAGGTTTGCAGTTGTTTATTTTGAAAGTTTCCTACAGTACCTTGATTAGCAAATTGTTTCCGTCGCAGAACGTCAACGTTTTGTCACAGTTGATGACTATCCAGGGAAAACCTTTAGAAGGCAGTCTGTAACAATTGATATGTTAGATAAAGGGTTTGTCAGTCGTGTCATGCTTTAGTCATGTTTGGGAACTTTCATGACAAATTGCCGCAACTATACAAACATTTTGTATTCCTGTTACTGGGACTAAGAACTCATGACAATATCTTTAACACTGCTTAGATGTACAGTGATGGTTTTAAGTTCTGTGTATATGTTGATATCTTGTACAGGTCAGTCTTGTCATTGGATGAAGGTTTTCTCGGTACAAATTCTTCATGACAGTTTTGTAAAGTTTTTTTGGTTATGTTATAAACATTGAAGGCCTTGTACATGAGGACGTGACTTTGAGCGTGAACCACGGTCACACAAGCATCAATGGAAACCGTTCAGTCTCTTTCTAGTGCCTCGAGTGCGTCTTCAGTGTGGCAGTGGCTTGAAATGATGGTGACTTACAAAAATACAGTGTAGTAGCTGACGATGTAATAACTCTCTCGGCAGCAAGTCACAGTCCAGTTTGTCAAAAACCTGTCAGTTAAACAGGGTGAACAAATACAATGGAATGCTATGACGTACTCTAGTTGGAATAGCTCATAATGGACTTGTGGGGACTTGGGAAGGACTTAACTACAACACTGATTGTTTCAATCTATGAATTGTACTTATTACATGTATTTACCCTTGCAGTTGTTTAGTTGTGCTTGTTTTATATCATTCACTTTTGTGTGAATACATACATGTACATGTACAGTGTTTTTGTATGGAGTTCAAAAGCCTAAAGTGTATCATAATTTATGCAGACTAAGTATAGCATGGTACATCAATTTTCTGTGCATTTTTTGCAAGGAAACTTCATGAACCCTCCAATTCCACCTTTATGCAAGAAATCACTGACACTTGTCTTGTACAGTAGACTCTGGATATTCAAAATAATGAAAAATATAGCAACTCTAAATCACAAGAAAGCAGATTCTAAAGACTCATTTTACATAATACATCCCGCTTAAAACAAAATAAATTTGAGGTCTCCCAAGTTTTGTTTTCCAATGCCCCCGTTGTAACAAGGTAATTGTAAAAGCCTCACATTTTTGTTGTGAAGGCATATGACTGTACTGTAATTCAGCTTGTTCCAGCAATCCTGTCATTACGAGATTTGACTCACCGTGCATGTACTTTCAATTTCCAACAGGAATCAAATTCATAGAAATAGTGGCGGTGTTGAACCTCCCTGACATGTTCCCGTGAATTTTTCGACTGTGTGGATTTTGAATGATCTTTCAAGGTTTACTTTTAAAATGCAAATTATGCAGTTTTTTATCCAATATGCATGCACATTTATTCTGTAATACTAAAATTTGTAAATCATTTTCTAAAATAAAAGGAAACTCAGTCTTGTAGCGTGTTAGTTTTCGTCTTGATTTGTTTCCCAGTTTCGATGAGGGTAATTTCAGTCAATAATCGGTATTGCTCGTTCTATGCTTAATGGGGCCTCCTCACCAGTAGTAGCTGAATGAAAGACTGAAGCATTAACCCTAACACTCCTCAGTCCTCCAACAGGTGAAGGATTGAGGAGTGTTAGGGTTAAATGCCACTTACACCATTGATTTACACACAAAGATCCTGGCTTGGTAAAAGAATGTTATCCACAAGCACATACTGAAATTCATCTTTCTAGTAAACTTCAAGTTGGATACTTGTGAACTACAAATGGTCTCTCCATCACAGTGCAGTTGGCGAAAAAAGGTCAAGTGTTATCTGAACTTGTCGCAGAAACTTTAGTGTCAGTCGGGATTTATTCACAACAAAGTAATAACGCAATTTACCCAAGTCCATGTACTGGCTTGCCACACAACAATCACTTCCCATGCGTCAAATAGTGCAGTGGAATAACAAACTTCAGATTGTGTAAGACCAGGCCACAGCTGACCAAAGTTGTCACGTCACTCTCCAACTGCCATGCCTTGAATCAGTGTACAGAGAATGGTACTAAAGCCAGACTCATTTAAATTAGTTGGCCACCACTGAATGATACATGTGATATCTGAGTGTCGATGGCTAATGGCTAGAGCTACATCTCATAGACATGAATGTTATTGCCACCCGTTCAGCCATAGCCATGTAGTTTGAATACAGTCTCAATCTCCCTCCTCCATCATGGCTCTCTTCCTCTTCCTGTGGCTGGTCACCATACCCGAGGCGGCTAGTTTTGTCATTTTCCTCGTCTCCCACTCCTGAAAAGCCATTAGGCTCTTCTGGCCAGCTCTGAACAGGGAGCGCTCCATCTCATCCAGTTTGGCCATCAGTTTGGTAATGTCCTCGTTGAGAGCATTCTGGGAGTTGTCCATGATGCGCCGAAACCGGCCCACAAATGTCTGCAAGAGAATATAAACTGAAATTTACAACAACAAAAGCAAGAGCTACAATAGTTATGACGAAGTGAGGTTTACATGAGACATGAGAAAAGAATTTTTTAATGAATGCAATTGGGCCTAAAACAGATTGGAAGACAGGCCAACCTTGAACTTATATTTTTGTAACAATGCCTAAGGCCAATTGAAATTAAAGTCCTTGTTTATCATCACCGCCCGACAGGATCTTCCCTACAGCCCCAACATTTTTTGATATTTCTAACTTTTTAACAAATTTTCAGCCCTTTTCAACCTGGAAGATGTATCTGCACCACAAAAATGGTCTTGTGTTTTTTAATTCTCTAGTCTCGCTCTCAACCATGACTGATTGATATGATCAGGTTGTTATGATATAGGCCTACATCATGTAAGACATGTACATACATGTATGGACATGATGGAACACTTTCCTACAGTGCAACAAGAAAGGTATTTTTAGACTATCTGAAAAGTGTGGAAAATACTAACTTCAAATATCAAATACCAAAGGGCCTCCTGGCCGAAAAATAAAACTTGAATGATAAACAAGGAATTAATTTTAATCGGCCGAACATGTGCTAACCAATGGCAATAATGCATGTTCATGCTAACCTGAAGTAAAGATCTTGAAATATCATCTGACTCATTGCTTTCAAAACACAGCAGTTTCGTTCCAAAAGAATAGAAGTATGGCCCCGTTTTGTGCAAATCCACCACATTGGGATCTGCAGTGAAGATTTCGCGGTAGCCCACCCGGTAAGCCTTAGGCAGCTCCACGCTGACGATCTTCCGCTTTCTACTGCAAAGACCTGTCGCCAGCCAGAACGGTAATTCCATCTTGGAGCCCGGCAAGATGTGCTCGCTGTCAGAACTGGGGTTCAGGAAGCCTAAGTTGTACAACGGCAGTTCTGTTTTGACTGGGACTTTCTCCTGCGAGGCTAAAATGTCCTCGATGTTGTAATAGTTGTCGGAGCTGCTGGAAAACCGGGTGTAAATTTCAGAGGTGGACGCCATCGTCACTGATCGTCAATATATTTGGACGTTTTGAAAGTATTAAGAAAGTGGCGGGAAAGTCTGGTTCCTTCTCCGTTTCCCATTTTGAAATAAGTCTTCACGTGAAGAGAGATCAGACTGTCCGGTTTCTTTTCCAAAAGAGGGCGCCCTGCCGCATTAATACACTGATTGAAAAGAAGCCTTGCCTGGCCGTAGTCCTCATGAAACATGCAGGCATACTTTCAGGGCGAATTTATGTTTTTCAAGTTATCAGTCAACAAGTTGAGGGGGAAAAATGGGGTGGGGGCAGGAAAAGATATCTAACCCCAAAAAAGTAAAGAAATTAAATGAGGGAGGCGCGCTGGGTCTTCCCCAGGCCTCGGGATCTGCTCTCATTGGCGGTTTAAAATAATTTAAAAAAAAAGTGGGAATTTTTTTTATCATTGAAAAGATACTTGTAAAACCGGAAACGAGGCAAAAATGTTTCAGAAGAAGGAATTAGAGTGATTGTTTTCTCATGAGTTACGTGAACAAATCCCGACTGCATATCACAGTCTACCACCTGTGGCTCGCCGTCCCGTCCGACGCAAGCTAACTGGGAGGATGGTGGTGGGTGCATTTTACTGGATTTTGCCAGGGTACCCCCCCCCTAGTGCAACTAAGGTACTAGGTAGGACCACTGTAGCCGAAAATCGATCTTAATTCCAGAAACAAATACTTTTTGAACTAATAATAATGTTTACGCATTCGTTCGGGTGAAAATGCTAATAGGCCGAGTACCTGTATACTCAGTTATTGAGACAGGTGAACACGTTTAGACTCGGGTTATTCGGACCATCTCAGATCACAGCCGGGAGAGGTTATATTCCCCCAGAGCTCTGCTGTCCCACCATATTCTACGTATTGGCCCTCATTTTCCGTACATGAAAAAGGAAGTTTCTCCTCAGTCTGACACATCCTTTTGTTGAAACAGTGACTTGGAAGTTGGCAAGGCCACACGCAGAATGGCCCATGTGCACCTGAGCAGGGCAGTAGAAAAAAGTATGCGTTTTCGGTTGACCCGTCCCCGAAAACTGGGTGCGGCACAGGAACGGTTTGTCCGATTTTCACAGAATTGATGTTAAAACGACCACAAGGTGCTAGTGAAAAACGTCTTGAAAAAAATCATAAAATGCACTGCCAAGATATCGGCAAATATGTCGAGTGTAGCGGGATTATGCACCCCCCCAGTTCTTTTGTTAAACATGATAAATCAAGAAAGTTTAAACCTCTATGTTTTGAAATTTCATCTTTATTTCTGAACCACAATTAGTCAATTTATAAATTATGTAACAAAACTTATGAAAAATATCACACATAGGTTTACACTAATGCACTTTGATATTCCGAATGAATTTGACGTATTGAAATTTTCCGAGTTAATAGACATGGATGGTGCATACAACGGGACTAGTTACGGATCCACGAGAGATTCTTCAAAAGTAGCCCAAACTCTCACTGCTTCTTCATTTTCAATGTAGTAAGTGAGCACTGGGAGACCTACAGGGGAGAAATAAGGGGACACACACCCTTCTGCCAAAATAGGAAAATAACAGGGAAAACAATAACAAATGTCCATAAGCCCCCTACCCACAAAGCCAAACACCCTCTTGAACTGAACCTGGATCCACCGCCCTAGTGGTAAGAACTTCATGACACAAGATTTTGACACTTGTCCGTCTTTTTCCATATTAATGGATGAATCTGTATACATTAAAATACTGAATAGTCAGACTCAATCTCTCAGCCCATATACAAATATCAAAAGGTATCTTTTCAAGCCAAAATTTGCGATCATACACAATAGCCTACACATTCCATTTGATACCACCTGAATACTCCGTTATGTAACCTTCTCATCACTAATACTTTTTCCGTTTGTTTTGCAACCACAGTAGGAGAGGTAGAAGTGACTCCTTCTTCATACAGTTTTTGTGGAAGATGTCAAAGTTGACCTTCTGCAGTCGCCGGAGGTAGGCCTCGACTGATCCAGTGACAAGGAAGGCGGGCAGGGCCTCCCTGGGTACACTGGCCTTGAATGATCTGGCCTGTACCAAGAAAGAAGGGGAAATTAAAAGGCGCCAGGAGGCCAATACAGACAGTTCCACTTGAAGATCCCACTTAAGTTGTCATAAAGATGGTAAAATGCGGCCATGGCCATGTACATACGAACAATGATTGACACAGTGTATTTTATTCAGTAAGGGTGGCCAAGTGATTGTAAGGTTTGTGACTTGACCAGGGGGTCAAGAGTTGGAATCCAGGTGCTGGCCATAATTATGCTGCGGCCTTGGGCAAGCCTCCTTACCCCTACCCACCTCTCTCCACCAAGGGTATCAACAAATGCAACCATTAGCTAGGGAGTAACCTGCAATGGGCTGGCATCAAATTGGGGGGGGGGGAATATATGTAGTTATTTTGAGCCAAGGAAACTGCTTTGCTGGTAATTTGCACTGACCAACGGTGTTAAAAGATATAAAGTTCTATTCCCTTGCCTTAAGAACTCTTTCACAATTTAGCCTAGCAACTGGGCGACTCACAGTTTCTAGGTGGACATGAGCGGCACTTGCAATGTCGTAGATCACATCCTTCAAAGGCTGCTCAGCATTCCTTTGTAGTATGGTCTCATGGGATACATTATGCTAAGAAAACAAGTGGGGATACAATGAAATAAACTTTCCTTTCCAACATACAGTGTCCATCTTACATCTTAAGTCTCCAATGCCTGCTAACTATAGCAGTTTTATCAATATATTTCATACATTACCCAGCCACCATTTAAATACACCGTTCCAGGACTACTTCTGTTATTTTCACCATCAAAAAAAACCCAACTGGATCCAACCACATCTCAAAGCGGGATCAGAAACTCCTTTCAAAGCAGCTAAGCTCAAGCAGATGAAATGGAAATCATGCCTGGCACTTCAATTTCGAGAGACAGTAGTTTGTCAGGAGTTTGCTTAGTCTATTAGAAGTGGCTTGAGTGATCCACGTTACACTGGCCAAATCAAATTTTTATCTCAATTGAAATTATGCCAGTGACCGATTTGCTTTTGTTTTGTTCAATTCTGATTCTTGAACGATGCCCATGTCTCTGAAATTCCCCCATTCTCAGAGGTACAGTTGAACCCATCAAAAGTCATCCAGTTACAAGTCACATGGGATCAACAAGATCGAAAGAAGGGCCTTTATGCCATTTATTTAAAACAGTTTGCATTTCGACTTTAGGACTGCCGGAATACAGTTGACAGTTGACAACACTGCTCGTGCATCAACTCCGGCACCGTAGTTGTGGAGACATACACTCAACATTTCGCCTATTTTGTGAGAACCGAAAACTTGTGGGGACTCAGAAATGTCCCACAACTAGGTTCAAATTTCCTTAACAAAAGAACTTGTCCCCTTAACGCGGTGAATGCCTACCCAACCCCCCAACAAAATGCACACCAGTGCACATTGCGACCACTCCTAGGACTGATTATCTTTACCTTGATGGTGACGTCCATGGGTAGTAGCACTTGTCTCTTACTGATGTGATACGGCGTTGCCCTGAGCAGTGTGACGATACCCTGTGCCTTGCCGATATGGCTGGCTGCATGGTCTGCATTCACATCTTTCACTCCTAACAATAAACAATGCAATCCACATGTAAGATATTTCTACAACTCTCAAGCTTCAAGTGTAGATTACTATTCCATTGAACGTGTTGTTGTTATAGCTTCTCGAAGTAAACTATAATACATATATTATGTGAAGTATTCTGTCGACAGCAGCTGGATGGTGACTAGCGTCAATAGTCTGATCTTTTAAATAAGTACGTACAGTAAATTGCAAATGGAGGTTAACCTGAAATTGGAGAAATTGTTTCCACACGTCTTCTCTTCCAACAATTCATTTTCATTTCGCACAGCGTGAAAACAATTTCCCAGTGGCAAAACATTTTCACACTGTTTCATACAAGTGTGTAATCATTTTCACGCCTCTTCATACAAGGGAGAAAAACATTTTTATGCCTTTTTCCTCAAGAGGAAAAAATAATCTTGCCATGTGAAGTGGGAATGTGAATATGAATTTGAGTTATTTTCTCAAAATGATCCAATCCCATTCACAGCGTTAGCTTCCAATGTTTGTTACTAGTAGAAACAGTATACATCTGCAGTTAAAAAGGAAACATATATGCCAGACGCCATTGGGTTATAAGAAGATGCTATTAATAGTAAGTAAGGGCAAGTTTCCGGCTAAAAAACACAGCAGAAAGTCCAAAAGGTTGGATTCGAAACCCTTCCCTTCAGATCATTAAGCCACACACAGGAAGCAAAACGTCAGAAACCAACCAGATCTGACCAACCAAGAAAAAAACTTTACCCAGCCAAACCTCAACAAAGTCATCCCTTAACATACCATCCTGAATTTGTTTTCTCCATCAACGCATCCAAGTTGTCTGACATCAATACAAATCTATCTGCTACTCTATAATTTGCTTATTTGTTGTTACAATATAAAAATAATTAACTGAGTTTACTATTACCCAAAGCCTCCAGCGTAAGATACAGTAATGATGAGGATGTGCTTTCAGCATAGGCCTCTAATTCTTCTACACTCTGATAAGGCTTGGCATCCAACGTCTCAACCTTGAACAAAAAGACAACGAATTTAGTCTGAGGACGATAAGTTAGCCACGTTGGGCTCAAACACTGCATCACACAAACCTTGAAAATAGACATTTACTTACAAAGACAGAAAAAGGAACAAATGCAACATTAGGTTCAGTTCCTTGTTCCAGTTAAATGAGGTGATTTCATTGAACCAACAAAAGCAAAAACCATTCTCATTTGTATGAACTCTTTTGTAATTATTTGCAAACAGCATGTTCACTCCCTTGTTCACATGCCACAAACACAAATGCTTTTTGCTACATATTCGCAAAACTGTGAGGGAATGCCTTTCCCAAAACGATCCATGTGTCAAACATTGAGTTTATTGATGCCATACAGAGGTTGTGCCTGGCAGCCATCTTTCTGGTAAGGGCTTTTGTTCCACAGGGTTACACATGAGTACACCTTTTGTCACAAAAGCAGTTACTGGAAAGATGGTTGCCAGGCACAACCTCTTCAGAGGCTGCCTGATCTGATGAGTGATTAAATGAGAGACTCTGGAAACTGATACAAACTTACTCTTGCCTCCAAAATCCTGGTCAGCCATCTTTTAGACAGCTTGTGCCGATGCACAGCTCTGTATAGCTCCATCGCAACTGGCTGCTGTGTTGGCGCTCCCTAATAACAAAGCAAACAAAATGTTGCAAAGGGTTAGAGGGTGACGAGGAAAGGCCAAACAAGTAAAGATGTGAGGCAGACATGTCTTGGAATTGACTTTATTCATGCTGTGCAATCAATGGTGATGTTGATCTCTACCCTTTTTCATCATCATTATCCACTGCTTAAATGAGCCATGTTTGAGTAAAAAGTCTCAGAAAGTCTGTTTAACTCTGCTCTTAAAAGGTAAACGCTGCACCTTCCTGGTTGGTGATGTCCATCCTGGTGCATGAGAACAATTTTTCATACGTTTAATCTGCATTTTTATAAATGTTGTTTTATATTTGTTATATTTAATGAATGGAAATTCATTTTTTTAAATGTTATTTTACTATATGTATTATCTTTATGTATAATGCACACGGGAAACCAATTTCCATTGTTTTTTTTACGTGATGACGTAATAAATGAAATGAAATGAACCTTGCACCATGAAATCAGGGATACCATCAACATCTGTCACCTACTCACACAATGTCCATTTGCATCAGGGTGCAAAAATGCATCCCCCAAAAAATGATGTCAGCTTGCTCCTTCTAATGCAAAGTGATACAAAATTGCTGATAAAAGTAGGATTAGTAAGTAGTAGGACTGCACTGCCATACAATTTGGGGCTTTCAAGCAAAACACAGAGTTTTCTAAATGTTCAAGACTAGTCTCTGCTGACCTCATAAATTCTGGTGAGGACGTCCTTCCAAAACTGCATCCGCATGAGTCCAATGTGCTTCTCGCTGACCGATTCGTTGACAGAGGCCGTCTCCACGTTGAAGGCTCTGAGTGCAATCACTGACGCTCTGGCAGACTGGGGCAGGAGAAGGGCAGACAGGAAACTCTCATGGTCACTCTTCCTATGGGAAAAAGAAGTTTGTACAGTGTGTAGTACTGACACACATTCAGAAGACATCCCTATGTTTTGCACACAATTTCCAATTGGAGACCTCTGGCTACTTACAATGTAACCAGATCCTTTGTTTTATTTGATTTCATTTCAGATATCATCAAATGCCACATGTGACAAAAATGGATGGATACAATGAAAAATATTCCAAGCTACTGGCCCATGAATAACATCACACACTTGCTGGCAGATTCTGGGGACAAGGCTTGAAAAAAATGAGGCAATTCCTGAGGTCTGCATTGCATTTCTTATTCCTTCCTTCCAAAAGCTTGAAATTAACAGCCCGGAAATGTTCACATAGCTTCACTCCTCAGGAAGGTCATAATAATAGGTTAGGCCTACTTTCAAAATTTACATAATTTGCTTTCCAAATTTTTTGTCCCCCCCAAAACAAATTTGACCCCCCAAATTTGATTAAGGATGTGTCTTTGCACAGCTATGTATAATGTACACCTACTCTTCTCCATTCAACCACGTATCCTGGAGGAATAAATCCCACTAACAATGTTGGCAACATACCCCATTGATATTGTTACGCCCCAACTATAGCATCAGTCCCAACTATACTTGGGCCCATCCTTACTAGAGTGCCACAGTTGGGCCGGCCCAACTACA